AGTCCTCATCAAGTTTTTCAACCTTCAGGTCTTCTACTATGGCCTTCTTGCAGCACCTCCCTTGACACAGGAATACAAGTTCTACCAGTGAGGAAGGCAGAACTTCCAACGAGAAGGTGTAAGCTAAGGCACGTGCGAGCGTAGTCGTGTTGGTGGACATACTTATACACTAAATCATTCAAATAAAGCTGGTTTCCGCTAAAAAAAAAAACACAAGCCAACAACATTCACACCCTCTGCATTAGTCTCCCAAAAGAAGGTTCTTCACTTCAGTTGCTCCCTACAAATAAATGTCGCTTCAGGACTTTTTTTTTTGTGTACTTGCTCAAGTGTAACTGACTGGAACTCAGTCAACATGTTTGCCTTAGACAAATAGCATGGCGGCGATCGTGACTTCACTCATAACATCGGGACTGAGCCCAAGATTTCTCCCGTCACTTGTGGATGTTCACAGCTTTCCTATTCCATTAGCCAACTCATCACGGCCAACTTGTCACAGCCAATTTGCCGTGGCCAACTTGTCATGGCCAACTTGTCACGGCTAACTCTTCATGGCCAATTCTTCATGGCCAACTCATCATGGCCAACTCTTCATGACCAACTCTTCATGGTCAACTCATCATGGCCAACTCTTCATGGCCAACTCTTCACGGCCAACTCTTCACGGCCAGCTCTTCATGGCCAACTCATTATGGCCAACTCATCATGGCCAAACTCATCATGGCCAACTCATCATGGCCAACTTGCTGTAGGACAACTCACTGTCGGACAAGAATTACACTAATATCAAAGAAGTGGCGGAATAGAAGCATAAAATAAAACAAATAAATAAAATAATTTTTTAAACTTATTTTAAATCATGATATTGAATTGTTCAATTGCCTCGCAGCAAGTTGTCCCATGGCGAGTTGTCCCATTCCGTCTTCCAGAATGGCTGTTCTCTTCAACCTCAAATGGACCTATTTCAGATGCGGTTATCTTACAAAAAGAAAAACCAGCAGCTCTACCACAAAATTCTGCCCTGAACAACAACAACAAAAAATGTATGACTATTGAAGATGGTTATGCACCCTCCAGTTGGTGTTATTTTTAGTAACCACCCAGATGGACCTTCTCCAAGATGATCTGTCATAGCCTGGACCTTCAGGTTTTGAACGGTGCTCTTTGTACCACTGTAGTTTCGTCCATCTTCTTTATGTCTGCAGAGATTCTCAGTCATCCAAGTCATGGTTGTCCCACAGGTGCTTTTTCAAGTCAGAATTGAAGAAGCTTCTTGAATGAGAAGCGAAACATCTTCAAGGAAATAACAAGGTCTCGTTGCCTTTTGAAAAAGCACCTTTGGGTCCGTCTTCTTTGCTGCTAGCTAGATGTCTTTGCATAATGTCCCCAAGACTACGGTCTACTCTTACGTTACAGTGCAATCAGAGCTTAACTGTTCTTCAATTACTATAGATAGCTTTGCAATTTTTTTTCAATTACTGGCTTAATCGCTGTAAAAGAATAAAACAAAACGCCTAAGCCTCTTTTTTAAAATAATAATAATAATAATCTTGACATTTGATCGTGTCAAGCACACTTGATCTGGAGCGGCTAAAATTCCAGCACCTTGAAAATGAAAGCTCTTAAGATGGAAAGGAAGTGCATCCAGTTTGGGTGGCGAGCATAATCTGAAACCCAAAGCAGAACGATCTTTTCCAGCTTTGAACCGGTTGTCCTTGACAACTGAATCCAAAATTGCTGTTGCTAAGTGAGATGTTTGTTAAGTGAGTTTTGCCCCATTTTACGACTTTCCTTGCCATGCTGGTTCAGCGAATCGCTGCAGTTGTTAGCAACCAGTTTGTTAAGCAAATCTGGCTTTTCCCCCGCTGACTTTGCTTGTCGGAAGGTCGCTAAACAGGATCACGTGACTCCGGGGTCACGGCGACCGTCGTAAATAGGAATCAGTTGCCGAGCGGCCAGATTTTGATTACGTGACCATGGGCATGTTGCAAGAGTTGTTATTGTGAAAAATGGCCATAAGTCACTTTTTTTTTTACTGCTGTTGTAACTCCGATCACTAAACAAATTCTTCCTAAGTCAAGGGCTAGTTGTATTTTATTCTGCTTTTCTGTTAAGGAATTCCGTGTGACTTTTGTCTGTCTCAAAGCATCCAATGAGCTTCAGAGTCCAAGGGGACACCCAAATTCTGCTTCAGCCTTTTCACCAGAAAATGGACTCCAGACAAAATGTATGGAGGGCTGCCTTTGCAGTTAACTAAAGTGAAGGTTGTTTTTTTTATTTTACATTTCCATGGTTAATAATGGGATTATTATTATTATTATTTTTAATGGTTTTCAGGCCCACGTAGGCTGATCTTTAGACGCCAACTTCAGCAGACTGATCAACTGGTAGTACAAACCAATCAACACACTCAAAAGGTCCCCAAACTCTGTTAGAAAAAAACAGCCCATACTTCCAAAGAAGTAATGCAACACAACAAACTTAGTTTACAACCTTAAACGCTTTACTGGGAAATAAGTCGTGGTAGTTACGATCGTATTTGCTACCAGATGGATTCACGTAGACAGTTGTGGCTGATCTTGAAATAGCTAAGCAATCAAACTTGGTTAGTACTTGGATGGGAGACAAGCCAGGCTGTAAACTAGGCAGAGGTCGGTGGGGAAAGGAGAGTGTCCTGAAAAACAATATCAAATAATATCTATTTTGGTGCCAAGCGGGCTACACAGACTTATCCATGTTCGTCAAGCGTCAACTCGAACAAAGCTCTACCTTGTAAAGTACTTCCAAGACTCCATTGTGTGATTTCTCCTAAACCCACTTTAATTCTTCTGATTATCACTTTTAAAGACCATATAATTGTGGTTTTCAGTTGTGCCTTTCCAAACCCCAAGCGAAAGGTTTACAAAAATGTTAAGTATGACTATTTCGTACGCTCCTCTCCTTTTTTTTGTATTGAAATTCTAAAAGCAGGCAGAAATGGAGCCGGTCTAAATCAATGTATTTCAATTACAGGTGGAAATGCCTTCAATCTGAAGCTTTGTTTTTTTATATATATATAATCGTTTGCTTTAAGGCCACTTCAAACACGCTAATCCTATTTCTGAAGACACAGCATTATGAAAAAAGTCTTTTTTTTTTTTTAACTTGTATTATTTCAGTGTAAGAGTCGTTCAATCTGGGGGCTACCGATTCTAAATCATCTGATTTACCATTTGAAACAGCAAAAAGAAAAGAAAAAGAGAGGAGAAAAAAATAATAAAAGGACAGCGCGCCATTCGATATATCGATTGTGCTTAGGAAACCAATCGCAGGGCACTTTCTCCAGACAATAGAAATTGTGAACTTTGGCCCGAAGCATTTCTATAATCTACTGGACCAGCAAGAGAGAGAAGAAAGAGAGAGAAAAAAAACAGAAGAAAAACCATGAATAGAAAAATAACTCTCTGCTTAATTACTGTCGTTTGTATAATGCATTTAGACAGCAGCAACACAATTGGTAACAGCATGGGCAAGCTACAAATGAGATTTTTTGCCTTCGCCACAGGTAATGGCTATCAAAACTTTAAATATATATATATATTACTCCTCGAAGCACGAAGCTGAAAGCACCAGCCTGAAGATGACGAATGGGACTTCGTCGAAACGTCGCCAAGACACTTCCAATTTTATGCGGGAGAAAACCCAAACAACCAAAGAACTATATATATATATATATATATATACAGCGAGAGACGTTATTCAATCTACCTAACCTATGTGTTACTGCATATGGTGTAGTCTCCAATTACGAGCAAAACATCCTTCCTCAATCCTCGAAAGACGAAAAGTTTTCTTACTACCGCTTGGACGTGCGATTCGGTTTCCAAGCGCCAGTTAAAACGTCCCCAGAAATTGCTGGTTGGAAGAAATGGCTGATTGCTGCACAAATGGATTATTTAGCGGAAACCTGGTACAGAATTCAGAGGGCAACTTCAAGCCCTAGCTAGACCCATGGATACCTGGTTACACCACCACCCCTTCCTTTAAAAAAAAAAAAAACAGATATTAAAAAAATCACAACCCTCCACTCTGGGTGAACTTGGGCCAATCAGGATTCCCTCCCTTTCTTTCTTAAAAGGGGTTTGTGACTGCTTTCATTTCCACGTCCCGGCCGGCCGTGGGAAAGGATACCCCTTCATCCCTCACTCTGGAAAAGAAGAAAAAAAAGCAAAATATCCAAACGTACCTGGCGAATACCTGGCTTTTTCGCCTGCTCACGTACTACGTTTGCTGTTTTCTCCTCCCACAGCCAGCTGGAATGCCTTTCCAAGCTATGGCTGGCTGGTTTTTGTAAATGTTTTACAAGACGCTCACCAGCCTCTCGTCCCACCCTTCTTGCAAACACAGTGGCACACACAGGATCTAAGGCAACAAAAGCCACCCCAACCTTGCCTGCAGGTAACACAAACACAGAGCAAGGACTTTGAGTCGAAGGTTGAAAGTGGAGCAAGCGGCAAGGTGAGGCAGCCCTAAAGGGGGGGGGCAGGGAGGAAGGAGAGTCAAAATTATTCCCAAGTCCTTGTCGGGCATAAAGTCGGATCACGGATCTCTTATTGTTCTATCGGTTCTGAAGTCAAGGCACATTGGGCTGAAAAGAAGAAGAAGAAAGAAAAAAAACCCGGCCAGGAACAATGACTAAAGAACAGGCCGGTAAACAGAATTCTGACTAATTTCTAAATATTGAGCACAAGACATCTCAATAGGGTTTGTTTTATTTTATTTTTTAAAATGAGCAATTTATAATCAACAATCGGAAGGCGAGAAGGCTGGAAGGAAAAAAAAAGAGAATGGGAACACGAAACTCTCACTGATAAGATGCACACGATACACCAATGTGTGTGAGCAGACTTACATACACACACACACACACACACACACACACACACACACACACACGTTTTCCCGTAAGGCAGTTTGTCTTCCTTCACTGCCAGTTTTTCACGTCTACCCCCAAGTTAAAACTCTACCACTTTTCAAACCGGACTTTCTGCATTCCATTCTGGTTAAAAATTACACAAAGAGAACAGAAACCAGCAACGCCACTATCCCAAAAAAAAAAAGGATCTGAAATGACAAGGTCCTTGTGGGCAGGCCCAAAAATCAACCTTCCCCAAACTGATCTTCCCCAAACGTGTTGGGTTTAACTCCCATAATCCCCAGCCGGGACTTGGATTAGGTAGCCCAGTCTCCCCGGAAGCTACTGAAGTAGGGCAGAAGGTCATCTGATCAAAGTCGGACGTCGTAGTTGAAACTCACAAACTACAGTGTCACAGTCTCAACGTGGGCCCCTCCCCGAGTGTTGGACTACGACATCCATACTCCTCCTCCTGCGGCTGACAGAGCGGATGGAAGTTGTAGTCTGACGCAAGGAGATGGGGACGTGGCTTGAGCTTGTTCCAAGTATCTCACTCCTTTCCTTCACGATCTGCACAGCTCCTTCCTGTCCCCCTCCCCTTGTGAGATTGTTGCCGTATCTAAGCCACAAAACTATTCCCAAGCAAAATATGGACTCCCCCTGCATTCCGAAGCTATTATCATCGTGACACAAATAGCCAAAAGGTAATTTTGTTATTAAGAAGGGCAAGGGTGGAGAGTCCTCTATCCTACTGAATATTTGAGTTTGGGATGTCATCCTTGACACCGTCCACAGACGGTCCAAGGCAATCTCCTACATAGAATATAGAATAGTAGGGTCGGAAGGGAATCTTGGAAGTCTTCTAGTCCAGGGCTTTTCAACCAGTGGTACGGGTACCACCTGTGGTACATTGGCACCTGGCAGGTGGTACGCGACCATCCTAGACAAGTGGTAGCAGGAGAGGGGAATGAGCTGAACCGATGGCAGCACCACACAAGCCTGAGCGAGAGATGGCTGGAGCTGCAGGGCTGTCAGGGCTCAGCGGAAGCGCCAGGATCAGCGCCAGGCTCCAGCTGGAGCTCAGCACTGATCCTGATGCTTCTGCTGAGCCCAGAAGAAGTGCCGATCAGCTGGACTGTTGCAGCATCTTCAGGGTCTTGTGATTTACATTCCGATGCTTGGCAACTGATTCATATTTATGACGGTCACAGTGTCCCAGGGTCATGTGAAGTGACCAAAATCTGCTGCAACCACCCAGCAGATGGGGGGGAATAAAAACCAAACACCCCCCACCCCACCCCCGCTGCCAATCCTCAACAGAAATGCTCACAACAGTGAAAACCTCAGACACGAGGACAAGCACCGCCGGGCGGGCAGGCAGGTGTCTTGCTCGGCTGTGGCTTGGGGGGCCCTTTTTTCAGTGCCATTGTAACTTCGAACAGTCACTAAGCAAACTGTTGTAAGTCGAGGACTACCTGTACTTGATCACTTTTTTCTTTCTTTTTTTTTTGATCAAGTTTTTGACACCTTGCTAGGTGACTGGTGGTCCTCGGATGTTGCCATATCCTAAAAGTGGTACAATGGGTGAAAAGGTTGAAAAGCCTTGTTCTAGTCCAACCTCTTTCCCATGGAAGGTGATCCTATACCGTTTCGGACAAATAGCTGTCCAGTCTCTCCTTGATGGAGCACCCACAACTTCTGGAAGCAACTCGTTCCACTGATTAGTTGTTCTCACTATCAGGAAATTCTGGGTTCTAGGTTGGGTCTTTCTTACATGTCTTCCTTCTTGTCCTGACCACGGGTGCTTTGGAAGACAAGTTGACTCTCCCTCTTGTCTCGGACTAGCTCCTCAAGACTGCTATCCTGTCACCCGTAGACCTTCTCTCCGTTGGACTAGAACAGTGGTTCTCAGCCTTTTTAACACCGTGACCCCCAACCGGTTGTAAGTCGAGGACTACTCAACCGGTTGTAAGTCGAGGACTACTCAACTGGCGCAGTACTGTTTGCAGAATGGGACTTTTGGCGGGCTCAGCAGGGCAGAGACAGCCTGGACAATTCCTATTGGCTTTTGAAAGCCAATAGAATTAGACTCAATTCAAGAGAGTCTATTCTGTTGGCTTTCAAAAGCCAATAGAATAAAAGGGAGGAGCACAGCTAAGGAAAAGGGGGGAAAAAATGGCAGACTGCGTTGTTTGGCAACCCCCGTGAAATGGCTGTTCGACCCCAAATGGGGTCCCGACTCACAGGTTGAGAACCACTGGACTAGATAGACATAATTTCTGCAACTGTTCAATGCATGTCTTACAGAGATTCTCCATCATCCAGGTTATAGTTATCCCAAAGGTGCTTTTTCACCAGTCACCCGGACGTCCTTGTTCTTTTTTGAAGACGTTTCACTTCTCATCCCAGAAGCTTCTTCAGCTCGACGTGTGTTTTATCCTCCAGTCCCCTAATCATCCTTGTTGCTCTTCTCTGAACTCTTTCTAGCATCTCAAAGTCTTTTTTTTTTTTTTTGTAATCATGGTGACCAGAATTTGAGGCAGTATTCCAAGTCTTACCACCACAGCATAAAGCGGTACTATCACTTCACATGATCTGGAAACCATCCCTCTGTTGATGCCACCTAGGACTGCAATTCGGCTGTTTAGTAAGGATAGGGGTAGAAAGAATAGAATAGAGCTGGAAGGGACCTTAGAGGTCTTCTAGTCCAGCCCCCTGCTCAAGCAGGAGAACCTATACCATCTCAGACAAGTGACTGTCCAGTCTCTTCTTGAAAATCTCCAGTGATGGAGTTCCCACCATTTCTGGAGGCAAAACTGTTCCATTGGTTGAGTCTCCTCACTGTTAAGAAGTTTCTCCTTAATTCCAGGTTGCTTCTCTCCTTGATCAGTTTCCATCCATTATTTCTCGTCCTGCCCTCTGCTGCTTTGGAGAATAGCTTGACTCCCTCTTCTTTGTGGCAGCCCCTCATATACTGGAAGACTGCTATCATGTCTCCCCTATTTCTTCTTTTCTTTAGACTGGCCAAATCCAAGACCCATAGCCGTTCTTTGTATGTTTTACTCTCCAGGCCTTGGATCATCTTAGCTGCTCTTCTCTGAACTTTTCCCAAACTCTCAACATCTTTTTTTGTGATACGGTGACCAAAATTGGCTGCAGCATTCCAGGTGTGGCCTTACTAGGGTTTGATAAAGCGGTACTAATACCTTGCGTGATCTTGATTCTATGCCTCTGTTTATACAACCCAAGATTGTGTTGGCTTTTTTGGGCGGCTGCTGCACATTGCTGGCTCACGGTGTGACGTGGTGTGGCACCTGCTATCCCAAAGGTCGCTACAGGGATGTGAGCTGTGAGCACGGCAATGATCTTTTCGCGCTTGTAGCAAACTTTGGGCTAGCAGGCGCCCAAAAAACCGTTGTAAGCCATCTTAAAAAAATCCCAGATTAATACAGAAAGTGGGAGAAAGGAAAGAGCGTTCATGGACCCGGCCTTCAAACTACCAATGCGTCCTTCAACCAGGAACTGAAGCCAAACATGACACCGCAACGCTGGAGTGTGTACTGTGGCCTTTCCCTGCTTTTGGTTGCACTGCTGACATCAATGAAAAAGATAATCTCCACACTCACAGCGTACCTGGCTCTGCAGCGGGGAGACTTTTTTTTTTTTGCAGATTTACAAACACTTCCTTATGGGTGGTGGAGGGGACTAGCAGAGGTTGCAAATAGGAGGAGATTAAAAACTCTACAAGCAAGATACTCCCAAGCTACATGGGCGGAGAGGGAAGGAAAGGACCCAGGCACAGAAATGAAAATAGGGAACGATCATGCAAACAGTCCACTCCCGTGGGCTGTCCTAACAGCAAATTCATGCAAATTCTGAAGGAATATTTGTTTTTGTTTTTTTAAATCATTTAAATCAACTAAGGGCGGACTACGGCTGGGAAGATGGGGAGGCTTTGCATTTGCATAGACAGCTCTCATTCTAATGCGGTTCTGCATTTTTCCTACAGATAGCCCTCGAATTTTTTTTTTTTTAATAACATTTTATTCAGTTGTGAAGTCAGATACCAACTACAAAGCAAATAGCAAGACATAGTGGGGAGGAAAAAGGGAGAAGAAAGTGAGGGACGGGGGGGGGGAATGGGGAAGAAAAAAAAGAGAGACTGACTTCCGACTTCCCATCGCAGTAGAATAGAGTAGAGGTCCCCAACCTTTTGTGCACCAGGGACCGGTTGCGTGGAGAGAAGTTTTTCCACGGACTGGAGGGTATGTGGTTTTGTGTGCTGCCTGCATCCGAGGGATGGAGCTTTGTTTGTTTATGCCAGTGGTTCTCAACCTGTGGGTCGGGACCCCATTTGGGGTCGAACGACCATTTCATGGGGGTTGCCAAACAACGCAGTCCGCCATTTTTCCCCCTTTTCCTTAGCTGTGCTACTCGCTTTTATTCCACTGGCTTTTGAAAGCCAATAGAATAGACTCTCTTGAATAGAGTCTAATTCTATTGGCTTTCAAAAGCCAATAGGAATGGTCCAGGCTGTCTCTGCCCTGCTGAGCCTGCCAAAAGTCCCATTCTGCAAACGGTGCTGCACCAGTTGATTAGTCCTCGACTTACGACCGGTTGAGTAGTCCTCGACTTATGACCAGTTGGCGGTCGCGGCATTAAAAAGGTTGAGAACCACTGCTCTAGGGAAAGGAATGCTTGGGGATGCTTCTGGTGGTCTCCTATGTGGTCCTCACCCAGTCCTAATCTTTTTTTTTTTTTTTTACGATCAATCAAAATCAGAAGTGTTTTGTTGAGGGAATTCAAAAGATGCCTGTATGTACCTGTTGAACAATTCATGGCATCCATTAATTAATTAATTAATTAATTAATTAATTAATTCTATTCATTCATTCATGGAGGAGGAGGAGGAGGAGGAGGAGGAGGAGGAGGAGGACTGTCGTGTCCTTGGTGCTCTCTGAGCTTGCTTGTTTTCTTGCAGACATTTCATTACCAAACTAGGTAACACCATCAGTGCTAGAGAAGAGAGGGGATTGCTCTCCGTTTATATACAGTGGCTTGTCCTGTCCGTGCAGTGAGAGTGTTCTCGGTGGTCCCTTGATTAGACAAGCAAAAAGACCACAACATCTCCTGATCAGCAATCAACGCCCAGGTAAGCAGAGATGAACAATCAAGGTTAACACTAAACCAACAATCAAGAAGTAAACAATACCCCAGCCAAGGAACCACCGATTCAGACAAACAAGCTAAAAGTCAGCAGCAGCCCCACCGCCATTCTCACCAACCCTGACAGGGCGAGCCACTGGCATATAAAAAGACAGCAAACCCCACTCCCTTCTCCTAGCATTGATGATGTAACCTAGTTGGGTAATGAAACGTCTGCAAGGAAACAGCCAGGCTCAGAAAGCACCGAGGACCCTAACTCTCTTGTTTCCTTTTGTAATTTTTAATTGTATGCTGTCCACCGTTGCTGGGAGTCAGGTGGTCTAAAAACTGTAGGCAGAAATGAACAAACGCAACGCTGAACGAAGTTTTCACAACGAAGGGTGGAGCCCTAGTTTGGTAATAAACATTTTCGCGATAGACAGAAGGTACCAGATTCAAAATCCTTGGACTTTCTTGATAAGATGGCCAGCATGGCTAAAGGAACATATCGCTGCACACCCTTGAGATCCTGATAAGAAGCAACCTATTTAGATAACGATTAATATTGATTGTTTTATTGTATTATTTTACACTTCCCAGAGTCACTTTCCCCGAGATGGGTGTCCTTATAAATTTAATAAGTATATAGTGAGGTGGCTCTGTTATTATGAACATCCCTCATTTCTTTTCTTTCCTTGTTTAGCTCTGCCTTTATAGCCTTTAATGTTTTTTTGTTTACATAATTACTTACAATGGTTTTTAGGTGATAATTGTTTTAGAGTTATTATTTTTTTTTAATTGAATGGCGTGCGGCCAGAATCACTCTGTGTTAAAAAAAAAAAAGGAAACCACATAAATTCAATTAATACATAAAATAAACTCCCTGTATTTCTATGATTGTCCTAATAAATCGTATGAAATGGCCAAGCTTCTAAAAAAGAGAGATTCAGCCCCAAATATTCCATAGATCTTTAAGGAGAAGGGTATTGTGTTTCTCTCATGGAATAAAGCACTCTGCAGTAAGAAAAATGGGCCAGTGAAGTAGCAAGATAGAACTCACACCTCACATTATTCTTTTCTTGCTGACAAAAATGTTAAAGGAAGTCACTCCTGCCCCCCCTTTGAAAAAGAGTCATGAGGTACCCATTTGTCCCCCAAAGTAGTCATGTCCAAATTCATGGCAGTGGTCCTTCAACTGCACCTCTTCGAACCCATGGTGAAGACCTCTGCACCTTCAAGTGTAGGTAGACCTTCGCAGCAGTGGTCCTTCAACTGCATCTCTTCAAAGCCATGGTGGGGACCTCTACACCTCCAAGTCTAGTTAGATCTTCATGGCAATGGTCCTTCAACTGCACTTCTTCAAAGCCATGGTGAGGAGCTTTGCATCTTCAAGTGTAGGTAGACCTTCATAGCAGTGGTCCTTCAACCCATGGTGAGGAACTTTGCACCTTCAAGTTTAATCAGTTCTTCATGGCAGTGGTCCTTCAACTGCACCGCTTCAAAGCCATGGTGAGGAACTTTGTACCTTCAAGTGTAGGTAGACCTTCATGGCAGTGGCCCTTCAACTGCACCTCTTCAAAGCCATGGTGAGGACCTCTGCACCTCCAAGTCTAGTTAGATCTTCATGGTAGTGGTCCTTCGACGCATGGGAGGGACTTTGCACCTTCAAGTGTAGGTAGACTTTCATAGCAGTGGCTCTTCAACTGCACCTCTTCAAAGCCATGGTGAGGACCTCTGCACCTCCAAGCCTAGTTAGATCTTCATGGCAGTGGTCCTTCGACCCGTGGGAGGGACTTTGCACCTTCAAGTGTAGGTGGACCTTCATAGCAATGGCCCTTCAACTGCACCTCTTCAAAGCCACAGAGGGGATCTCTGCACCTCCCAGTGTAGGAAGATGTTTGCTTGCTATTGAAAACAGGACTGACAACTTTGCAAATCCTGCCGAGGTCAAGTCAGGTCAACTCCATCTGTGGACTTTCTGTCTCTACCCTGAGGCCACGAGAGTCCGTTTTTTTAATCTCCACTGAAGCTTGTCCAACCCTGGACTTCTCCAAACTCACTTTCATCTTCTGCTTCATGCTGTTACTTTGATGACCAAGGGTTTCTAAAGATAACAGAGGCTTCCCTGATTTCAACCCAAGATATCTCCTGTCTAATGACCAGCCTCAGATCTGGTTGGGTCAGCCAAATCCCTGAGCAGAAAAACATCACCAACTTTCAAGTTTCTTTGGTCACTAAAAGTGGTGGCTTTTTTTTTTTTTTTTTTTGCCCTCAGTTCTGTTGTCATTGTGGTTTTAATTCTGTATAGCAGAGGTCCTCAACCTTTTGGGCACCAGGGACCACTTCTGTGGAGAGAGGTTTTTCCACGGATCGGAAGGTGCGTGGTTTTCTGTACTGCCTGCATCCCGCAGATGGAGCTTTGCTTGTTTGTGCGGACCGGTTGCTGGCATGCCGTGACCTGGTACTGGTGCACGGACCAGGAGTTGGGGACCCCTGCTATATAGGGTTTAGCCACACCGGACAAATTTCTGAGAATTTGGCCCTCAAAACTGCTAGGGATCCCAGATTGGCGAAGGTTACCTTAGTTAATTGCACGTTCTCTTCCAGAAACCACTGTTTATACAACCTCTTTGAGATAAAGGATCTGTTTTTAATGTAGACATTCAAGAGCTCTCTCTCTCAACGCTGATTTTTCATCTCTGGGGCAGGTAGAAAATTACGTACCCTGAAACTCAGGAATTTGCAGAAGAGTGTTTCACCACTTCTCTCCAGAGCCACCAAACCTGTTTCTACCTATGCTTTAGTATTGCGCCATCAGGCCACGTTAAGGTCATGTGAAGAGCAAAAGCCAAGAGCGTTAAGTCAACTATTTAAAAAGGATCAAGGCTAGAAAAGTAGAGAAGCTTTCTTTCTTTCTTTCTCTCTTTCTTTCTTTCTTTCTTTCTTTCTTTCTTTCTTTCTTTCTTTCTTTCTTTCTTTCTTTCTCTCCCTTCCTTCCTTCCTTCCTTCCTTCCTTCCTTCCTTCCTTCCTTCCTTCCTTCCTTCCTTCCTTCCTCTCTCTCTCTCTCTCTCTCTCTCTCTCTTTCTTTCTTTCTTTCTGGAAAGTTCAAACTTTGCCAAACATTTCTGTTGTAAAAAAAGATGTGGAGATTCTGGAAAGAGGGCAGAGAAGAGCAACAAAGATGATCAGGCGACTGGAGGCTAAAACATACAAGGAATGGTGGCTGGAATTGGGGGTGTCCAGTTTAACGAAGAGAAGGATAAGGGGGGACAGGATAGCAGCGTTCCACTATCTCAGGGGCTGCCCCAAAGAAGAGGGAGTCAAACTGTTCTCCAAAGTGCCTGAAGGCAGGACGAGAAGCAACGGATGGAAACTAACCAAGGAGAGAAGCAACCTGAAACTAAGGAGAAATTTCCTGATGGAACAATTAATCTATCAGCTAAAATCCATAAATACGACCATAATTTCTGTCTCTAAGTGCGACATTTGTTAAGTGAATTTTGCCCCATTTTATAACCTTTCTTACCACAGTTATTAAGTGAGTCACTATATTTATTTAGTTAGTAACACAGTTGTTAACCGAATTGGGCTCCCCCATTGACTTTGCTTGTCTGAAGGTTGCAAAAGGGAATCACGTGACCCGGGGACACTGCAACTGTCATAAGTACTTGTCAGTTGCCGAGCGTCTGAATTTTGATCATGTGACCATGGAATGCTGCAAGGGTCATAAGTGCAAAAAAAGATCATAAGTCCATTTCTTCAATGCCGTTGCAACTTCGAACAGTCACTATTGTAAATCAAGGATTGCCTGTAAGTGGACTCACTTAACTCCTATGTTTGAAACATAGATTATCATAAAATAGTTGTCAAAACATCTAAATAGTTCATGTGATGATAGATGATAATAGATGGATAGATTAGATAATAATAATAATAATAATAATAATAATAATAATAATAATAATAGATAGATAGATAGATAGATAGATAGATAGATAGATAGATAGATAGGAAGGATAGGATAGTGATGATAGACAGACAGATAAACTGTCAGTGATGTCCTAACAGGCACCCTCCAAAATGTTCTTCAACCACCAAAACCAGAATCCGTCTACAACAAAACCTCTGAAGAAAGAACAACATCAAAAAAAAAAAATCTTCCTTATCTAAAACATCTGAATTAATCCCAATGCCTAGAAAAACGCATGAGTGTTATGGACTGTTCCAGAACTCTCCTTCCTGAGGAGACGGTGAAGGAGCCCCCCCAACCAAGGACTGAAGAAAGAGACAGAAAGAGACTGTCCAGCGTCTCCTAACGGCCAGTCCCCTGCCTTTAAAAAACAAAATATCTGCTTGTCTTATCAGGAAAAATCTGGTTTCCGCCTTTAGTGCTTTCTACAATTCCAGTCCATCAGCTTTGGGGCCTGACCGTCTTCGCAGGACACGTCACCAGATGGAATGGTGGCCACCAAGAAGCTCCACAGCTTCTCCTTCCAATTTTAAAATGAGTATTTTTTAAGACAAGTGACCTGCCGTTCTTTTTTTCTAGGAAAACGAAGGTCGTAAAACAGGGCGACATTCCCTTAACAGCTCCCTCGCTTGGTAACATAAATTTTGGGCACCCTTGTGGAAGACCACTGGCGCTGGATCTAATTTATTTAGAATGATTTTAGTAGAGAGACAAAAAATAATTTGACCCACACAATCAAACTTTGCTGCTGAATAATACTGTAGGAGCAGGTTGGTTAGCAAAGTAGTTGCTAACGATGCTCTAATTTAGAGGTCCCCAACCTTTTGGGCACCAGGGACCGGTTCCGTGGAGGGAGGTTTTTCCGTGGACCGAAGGGAACATGGTTTTGTGTGCTGCCTGCATCCCGCAGATGGGGCTTTGCTTGTTTGTGCGGACTGGTTGCTGGCATGCCTTGGCCTGCTACCGGGGGGTTGGGGACCCCTGCTCTAATTTCTCTAGCCAACTTCCTTCCTTTGGAGAGGAACGGGATGATTGAGAGGCATTTCAACACTCAGCAAATTGTAAAGCTGTGAGTGATATTTTGCAGGACAGATTGCGATCAACCACGTACTCGGGCAATCGTATATTTTCATGACAGCTTCTATTCAGATTCTTCTATTTATCTATTTTTCTTTTTCCATCACCTATTTCTTTTCCACTAGAAAGAACTGGATCAGAAGACTCTCCACTCAGCTAAGCTGGCTGTCCTGTTGGGGCATCCTGTGCATATATCTCAAAGATGCCCGTTTTTAAATACTGTCTCTGGATGTATCTCTTTCCACTGAAGCAGCCCACGGATTTGCCTCTGTCAAGCACCAGGAACTTCTTAAATCCTGGAAGACATTGAAAGCAACAACAAGGTATCACTCTGCCAAGACGGTTCTGTCAGGGCTCTTGCAGGTCAACTGAACATGCATGTCCATGCATTAAAGGATGCTGTGTCTTCTGGATGTGTGTACAGAGAAGGTCCTCAAGCATGGAGCTACCGGTACATGGAGCCTCCAAGTGGAGTTTTCTTCAGGAATCTCCAAAGTATTTGCCCAATCAGCTACACGGAGGCTTCAAGAAGACTTGGGCTAGGAGTCTCCTAAGTGTTTGTCGAATCCAAATTTCCATCCTCTCTCAGTTTTTCCAGCAGTCTCCTTCAACTTGGCCTTCTCTAGAAAAGTTGTTTGGAGGTCTTGGGAAATGTAGTCCAACCTATCTGGAATCTGGATGCATAAAGCAAATTTCTGAAGCTGGTTCATCCCAGCATGACCTCCCCATAGACGTCAATCCTTCAGACACAAACTTGACTGGAGGTGAGGAGGTCATTCTGGTTCCAAAAAAAGGTATTTTGCTAGGGACTGTGTGGGTCTCTGGTTTTGCTCAGGTGAAATCCAGTTTTTTCCATCACACCTCCTTACAACAAAGAGAGAACTTGGAAAACAGGCCAGATCTGTTGTACAAAGAATAAAAGGCCTTAAGACTGGGGGGTGGGGGTGGGGAGAATGAAAGAAAAAAAGAAGAAGCCAAATCATCTATTTCCTCATTGCTCAAAATAATAGCCTGAGACAT